TATCCTGATACACTATATATAAACGGCGTCTGTCTGTCTGTCTGTCTGTCTGTCTGTCTGTCTGTCTGTCTGTCTGTCTGTCTGTCTGTCTGTCTGTCTGTCTGTCTGTCTGTCTGTCTGTCTGTCTGTCTGTCTGTCTGTCTGTCTGTCTGTCTGTCTGTCTGTCTGTCTGTCTGTCTGTCTGTCTGTCACTCTGAGGTCACGCATCTGACTGCCTGATTCAACGGCTGAATAAGGAGCAACCCAAGAAATGCTACTACGGTTTTCCATAGGAAACTCAGTTTCCATTCTAACGCTTAGAAACGGTTGAGATTTACGACACTTATCAAGGCACAGTATGCAATAAAGTTTCACGCGCACTGTGATCGGCTTGGGAGGGGCATCTACACTTCTGCTAGTTCCTTCTGTTAATTCACATTAATCAACACGTTTCATTCAAAGGCAGTTGGCACGATAAATCCCCAAGACGAGTAGGATTAATATGCCTGGCAGGACGGAATTCCGCGACCCTGAGCAGGCGCTGCGTAGCGCCTTTTCCAAGGAAGGTACCCTTATAAGGGCCCTATCAAGCTACAACATACCGACCCGAACGCCCGCCACGCCGCCCGCCCACAAATGGACGACCGTTCCTGACGCTCGTATTGGTTCTTGCTAAGCAAATTATGAAGCGAAGGGATTGGTATGAAGCGGCGCGGTGCTGCATGGATATATGAGTACACACATGCAGCCGTATCTTCGGTAGCGGTTATTGGCAAGATGCCTACGGGAAACTCGTCCGAAATTGATTTTTAAGTCACTGAGAACGAAGGCTTTTCTTCGCCAGATTTTGACCGTTTCACTCCGTTCTTTCGCCATTTTCCCCACTACCTAGCACCCTGCTAGCATTTTAGGCCGGGTACCAAATTATCGTGCCAACTGCCTTCAAGTGAAGCCTGTACTCTTTGTGAAAAGCTGACGGAATGGTATGCGTGTAGCTCTTGCCTTTGGCTTTACAAGAGGTCCGCACTGGGCTTCGCTGATGCTAACTCAACAGCCCAAAAACTTGCACCCTTTTTCAATGAGGCGCTCCTCCCACCTTGGTATGGAACGAGGGAACGCACTAATGACGACGCACATGGATTATAATGAGGAACGCACAGTGATTGTGAGCTCTGCCCATACGGTCATCGCGGAATGTCTCGTTAATGGGTAAGACGGCATGAATCTTGTTTTTGATTCTTATTATCGAGAATGCCATAAGCAACTCACGTATCCTCAGCAGGTTCAACCGCAGTGTTGGATTCACATAGCAGTTCTCGATAAAAGTGATCGGGGGCAGTCGTGCGATCGCTCGAACGTTGTGGTTGCAAAAGTGGTTGAGCTGTGAGCATGGAACTCTTCGATGAAAGGAAAGTGTTGAAGGATATCTGAAACAACCTTCTACAATGTGCGCTGATATGCCATAGCAGACAGATAAGTAGATAGAAAAAAAGGACCAAGCTTACGCACTGATCAAATCCTCTTCTGAATGCGGCATGAACTCTTGTTCTACAGTATCACGGCTTTTCAGCGCGATATGGCAAGACGTACAAGTCAATCTATTGATCTTACCCACGGGTCCAGTGCCAATTTACCGGCCCTGGAGATAGAGGGTCGTGTTGGCCCAGGCAAGCGTGTTTTTGGTAGTTCGATACAATCACACTGCCGCGACGCGCAAAACCTAGTCCAGTGGGTACTGGCCAGATAACCTGACACACTTCGGGATAGTTAGATTGAATAAAACAGGTGCTGGCAGCACACGTGGGACTATTTGCAAAGCAACTTTCGCCGCTCTCGGCACAACGTGGACGCCCCCTAGTCTAGCGAGAACGGGTAGTAGTGATACGATAGGCGCTCCCTATCTTTACCCATGAGATAAGCATGGAATGCGACTCTTATGGCATTTTGCTTTGAGGCCTGATCAAGCAGGACACGTGGGTGTGGGCACAATTGTGCTAATACTCTCCTGGTTTGATCCCCTTTCACAACCGTCCGAACATTTTAAAATTTTGGCAGAAAACTTGGTAGGGTGTATAACGCGCATGAAACAGGAAAATGCTATGAAAATTCATACTTTGCTACTCGAAAGTCGCCCACTGTCAGAATCCGC